ATATATAATATATATAATATTTATATTTGAGCAAACATTCATTTGTTTTATTATTATTTTTTATGTATAATTATTGGGGTTCATAGATCATATAAAACATTACTAATATTGCATTGAATTTAATAAAAATAATGTAATTTATTATCTTTAAACTTTCTTCTGTGTAATCAAATTCATAGGATTTCAAAGTGGGATAATAATTTTTTTGTAATAAAACATTAAAAAAATATAAATCTTATTTGCATAGAAAAGACCAGCTTTTAATCATTTTTTGCTACATATTAATCTCATACACATGCTGAGCATCATATATTGTCACATGTGCATAGATATATTCTTATTTACATAAATACATGCAACAATATTTATTTGCTTCATCATCAACAGTGTACATTGTATATAACAAGATACTTGTCTGACGCAATTAAATTAAGATTTCTTTCTCATTATGTACAAATTGGCTATAAAAATTGTCATGATTATAAACCCATATATTGAGGGGAGGAAGAAAAAGTATTTCTTGCAGAATTATTTTTCCTCGATTCCTCAGCATTAGGAATATCACTGAAAATAGAAACTGATGATAATATTTTGGTAAAAATATAAAAAATACTGAAAAAAATTATCTTTTTTTAAGAATGGAATTTTTTGATAATCTGAATCAGTGATCCATCTTTGCACTAAAAGTGATAAATTCCGATATATATCATTTTTCAAATAAACATGAAAGTCATATACTTAATTGTACTTAGCGTTAAATATAAATTATACTTAGCGCTAAATTCAGTGGATATACATCTATAATTATATTTATAAGAAATTTTTTTAAATTTATAATAATTCTGTCCAATAAGTTGAATTATTCGTGTCATTATTGGACAGCACTGATTTATTAAAAATGATTCTTGTAGATCAATTACCCAAAGAAAGGCATCAGAGACACGAGCGTCTGCCTGTTTGGCCTACACGCAAATACAGGTGAACACTGCGCTATACGTCCAACGACACGCCGTAACCATTGCTGCAGCTTTTGCCGTCGTTCTTCCACAAATTTTGCATCCTAAGTCATTAATAATCACTTGTTACATCTAAATATTTTTGCTATTACTTATATTACGAATTTATGTTTCAATATATTTATAACTTACCTTATTTCCTATCGTTTTTTTTGGTGGAAATTCAAAAGTTGTAACAATAGTATCATGTTTCTTTAGCTCTCTATAAAGCGCATAAAATTGAGCATATCGCCGATAAATGTTCCACTCTATGTCTCTTATGCGTACGTAAATCTATGTTAACAAAAGAAATATGCAAATTACATAGGAATCACTTTAGTGAAAAGATTTTAGAATACAAAAGATGATACTTGATAAACATGATGGATGTCAGATGATTGTCCTGTAAGAAAAGCCGATGGAATCCATATGTGAATAAGACATGGTGGTTCTGCAGGTAAATCGTCCTCGTTTAACGGTCCTCGGAGACACTCCAATTCCGTTTGCAGCATTTTTACTAATCTATCTCTGTATAAAGTTTGAAATAGTATAGAGAAATATTACAAGATTATTTGTGTGGCTTTGTATTAATACAATACCTATTTGTCAATTGCATTGTCAATCTAGCATTAAATTCCATTAATTCGGCATGCATATCTGCAACTTGTATTAATTTTTCTTCATATTGTCGCGCTTCATTGTGATAGTCCAACGATGGATCTTCCTCGGATACTGTTGTGGAATTGGAATCTCGTCTTAACATCTGAACAGCAGTGACATACTTACGCAGTTGCTGTCGTAAGAGTTCATTCTCTCTATATAATTAAAAGTAAATCAAATCAATATATTAATTATAGGCATTAAGCCTATGATTATTAAAAAATTAATCATGTAAACAATTATAATTACCTGTTCAATGTTTGCAACTGTAATTCATGTCTTTCTAAATAATGTTGATGTTGCCTCTGAAAACGAGCTAATTGCAATCTGCTTGTTATAGAATCTTCTCTAGCTTGTTCCAGCACTTCCGTCATAGCTAAAAGCCTTACACGTAATGTATCTATATCTAAATTTTCTGGATCTATATGAAAATCTAAACCAATTAATGGTTCTGTTGCTTCTAATGCAGGTTCTGTTACTTCTGATGAATCCTAAATAGAAATAAAATTAAAAAATATGCCTCGCATGTTTTGTATCAACTATCTTGCTTTTAATATAAATTTTTAATATAAATTTCTATTATAAATATTTACATATTCACAAATCTACTTTAATTGTTAAATGTTCATAATAATTAAAAAATTAACTCTCTTTCGTTAAAAATAAATAAAATGTAAACTTACGTCTAAGTAATTTGGCAGACTAATTAACATATCATCTAATGTTTGATCAAGTGATGAAACAGGTACAAGGCCGCCCAAATTTCCAGTATCTATTACAGGAGTTAATATTTTCTCCTCTTCAAAAGATTCACTGTAGACATTAGAAGATTTTTATGAAAAAATCTTTTTTTTTATCTATTATTATATTAGTTATTGTGAAAGATATTTACCATTGTTCCCAGTCCGGAAGTTTTGTATTGATCGCTGTGTTGTCATTAGAATCCATTTGAGGTTGGCAATCTGATAAACATGAGGAAGTAGAATCTTTTGTTGGCGTTATTGTAGGAGAACTAGGGCATGTTGGTGGTGCGCTAATAGAAGTTGCAATTTCCCTGCGTTCTTCTTCTTCATGATCATCATCAAAAGAAATTATGCGAGTTTGCACTTTTTTTTTTCGCTTTTCTTGTTCAGACGGAAGCGATTCTGTTAAATAATTAGCATAATACTTAATAAGTCAATACTAACAATTACGCTACAATAGCTTTAAAATTTTTTCTTTTAGATATTAATATAAAAAGTCAATTTTTTCACTTTTCACTTTATTAATTTAAGTTTGTTTTAAATAAATAATTACAAATTAAAATTTTTTTACAAAATTTTGATATTAAGAAATTAAAAAATGAAAAGTTACAAAATAGTAATTGTTATTAATAATAATAAAAATTAGAAATGTTATGTAAAATTACAATAATAAATAAATTTTACTTCATGAGTTATGAATTATGTAATTTTTAATAGATGTAAGAAATATTATATAATTCTATTCTAATTCAGTATCTATATTTAATATATACCCGGTATTACTGTAGAAATAATTGGTTCTGATTGCGCGTATCTATTTCTGTCTATTCCTCTTCCATTTAGATCATCAAGTTCCTCATTGTCTGTTCTTATCGCAAATAAAATGGTACCAAGACCTAATAAATATACATGTGCATGATAAGATTGATTAATTATTTTTCGATAAGAATACAATAAAGTACTATTTAAGAAAAAATACCTGCAGCTACATTAGGTAAAACAGAACTCTTTTCTTGATCAAGTAAAAAGGCCCATTCTTCATAAAAAGGTAACAATGTGCTAGGATTTATAATGGCATGTAAGTGCCGTTCTAGAGATCTTTCGTTCAAGACAGCTCTCAGCCATGCTCTGCCTCGACCATAATCCGTATGAACTTTTCTCAACATACTAAAACGTTCCTGCTCGTGCCAAGTAAGTTGATCCTTTATGCATGGCCAGAATGCTATATCTGCTGCATTGCCAGGTTTTGTATTACCACCAGAAACCAAATCAGATACATGTCTATAAACAAAAATATTTCTCAATAAGATTGGAAACAAGATCATTTATGTTAAATACATTACTTTAATAAATATGAAGCGTCACTACAGTCTGAATTAAGATGTTGAATTATTATATATATTCATTTAAATGAATTAATTTCAGAAATGATAATTGCGTGCCAATATGATTGTCGGACTTTCAACGCAATCAATCTGAAATATTAATTAATAAATATAATTCCCTCAAATTTCCCAAATTTAATCTTAAAAAACTGTAACAAACTTATTGCGAAAAATATTGTCTCGGCTGGAAGTCGAACTCGGATCTCTTGCATTCCGTGCGAGTGTTCGTTAAGTCTTTAGATTTTCAAAATCTTAACAATATTCCTCGCAATAATCGATATGTATAGAGAGTTACACATTGCAGACAAGCGTGTATAAATAATGAGATTGGAAACAAGATATTATATTAAATACATATTACTTTAAATACGAAGTGCCACTACAGTTTAAATGTTAAGATATTGAACTATTATATATATTCATTTAAATGAATATATATAATAGTTCATGAATTAATTTCAGAAATGATAATTGCGTACCGATATGGTTGTTGGACTTTTAATGCAAAAAGATTTCTGTTAATCCAACATACTCTTAGATGATATCGCGATTTAAAGTAATTATGATTGCTTGTGTTTTTTTTAAATTATTCATGCTATAAATTTATCAATAGGAAAAATTTCATCCACATTTATCATCTGATGAGTCATATGATAAAGCTATAAAGCATGTCTGTTTTATGACCTTGTATATGCATAGGAAATGGGAGAAAAAAGATAAATATATATAAAATTATTATAATAGAGTAAACGTTACCTGAATGCTGAATTAATTTTTTCTATATAATTTGTCTTTAACCCATGGCTAAAAATCAGTTCAAATATATGGCAGAGCTTTGCAACACATGCTTCTGATTCTGTAGCTAATTCTGCACGTCCACCAAACCTGATGTGACATTCTTTTGCAGACACTAATACATCTTCTAATAATTTTTCCTTCTCAGTTGCATGATCTACTACATTATGTGTATTTGGCACTATCGCTGACATAATACGCAAAGCCTAGGACAAATAACATTTTAAGAAATACATCAAAATCAACAGTCTTGGAAAGAATATTAATATTTCACAAGTTTGCTGTATTTCTTAATTAATAATATAGAAAATTATATCAGTATTATAACATGAAAATAACATGAGATCTATATTAGAACTATTATTTAAATAAATGTATATATGTCCTATATATTTCAGATATTTAAATATTCAAATATAAATATTAAATATTTATGAAGCAATTGTAATTTTTATTAAAATTCTCTCTGAAATTTATTCTAAATTTGATATCACAATAACACAAAAGTTATTTCACATTTAAATATAAATATCATATTATTTAAATATCATATATATTTTGTATTTAAATGTCAAGTATATTCTACATTTAAATATGGAATACACCTTCCAGTTTGATTTTATTTTCTTAAATACC